TGAGCTTTTCGATCCCCAGTAGGCCAACCATGGATAAATCCAAGAAAAGAAAAGTTTCAGAAGAAAACAGAACCTTTAATTCAGCAGGCCCCACTTTAAGTTATATGAATGTTGTGCAATTTTAATGTCTGTTCTTTTTAATTTTTATATGTTCCTCCTCCCTGCTTTATCTGTAAGCCGCCCTGAGTCTCTCGAGAGTGGGCGGCATACAAATCCTCATATGTATTTACGTTTACGTAAACATAAACGTAAATACATATGCTGGTTTTGGGGGCACTCAGGAAATAGAAATTTGTAGCTCCCAGTGTTTTCTTTTCCGTGGGAAACGGGTCCAAATGGCTCTTTGAGTGTTAAGGTTGCTGACCCCTGACCTATATGATGAAAATTCAGGACTTTGATACCTGGCATGGATTTTATGATGTTTGCAGTATCTCAAGGTCATGTGATTGTCACTTGCAATCTTCCCAGCCAGCTTCCAAAAAAGCAAAAGCAATGGGAGAAGCTGGATATGATTAATGACCATAAGCTTCACTGAACAATCACGGTGATTTGCTATACTGTGGCAAAAAGGATTGCGAAATCAGACATGACTCAATTAACAACCACTTTGCTTAGCAACGGAAGCTCCAATCGTAGCTGTGGTTGTATGTTGAGAACTACCTGCAACTGGTACATCCGTTTATTTATTTTACAGTGACAAGCCATTATTTATGGTGGCAAATCATATTTATTTTATTATTCTCTATGTGCTTTCTTTGAGTTATTAAGTACAGATACAGTAAGAGGCAGGCATAATGTAGTAAACACTTAAAATTATGATGATGTTAGTTTTATCATTATTTGAATGTCAATTTGTATACATAACAGGACACAAAATTATGGATAATAATGGAATACCTTGGTGGTGGCTCTGCCCTTGACCTTGTAAGTAACCAGTTTTTATTACAATTTCTATAATTCATCTGAATTTTTAAATATTGTCTTGCAGATTTTATGTCTTATGTACATCATAAAAATCGATCTTCGGCCACTGAACTGTAAACTTCACAAACAGAATTTTAATTATTCATGTCGTAAGGAAGAATTATATATACATTATTGAAAAGAATCTTGGTTGAATAATATTGGAAACGTGTTTGAAAGTGCATTTAAAGCTTATGGGTATCCAATTACAGCTTTTATTTTTCTAATCAAAAGTGCAGATGGATGGGTCTTTCGCCTCCAAACCATACCTTGCAATTCTATTCATAGATGGGCCTCATAGAAATCTGCGTGTTTGTTCTCCCAAAAATAAATATTTGAGGGATTAACATGTTAAATCTGGAGGACCTAAATTCAAGTACATTCTCAGCCAAGTATGCTTCTGGGTGATTTTGTGCCAGTTGATATCTCTGGATCTGGCCGAATTGTTGAGCATTACAACAAATATAAATAAAATTAGAATAAATAAAAATGAACTTTATTGGACTTCAGTGTTTTAAGTTATTGATCATTAATTATTTGGCCTTTTGTCTGAAAATAATGTATTTTATTCTAGTTAGAACCAGGTTCGCTGGATGAAATCCAGATTGCTACAATATTAAGAGAGATTCTGAAAGGACTCGATTATTTGCATTCAGAAAAGAAAATTCATAGAGATATTAAAGGTAAAAAAAACCTATTGGGGCTTTGTTAGCATTTTAACAACTTAAGCTTAATTTTTCCAATTACAAATTTCTTCTAAAATATTTTCTAGCTGCTAATGTGCTCCTCTCAGAACAAGGAGAAGTCAAGCTAGCAGACTTTGGTGTAGCTGGACAATTAACTGATACACAAATAAAGAGAAACACATTTGTGGGCACACCATTTTGGATGGCACCAGAAGTAATAAAGCAATCTGCTTATGATTCAAAGGTAAGATTAATATGCTACTTGATATTTTCATGCATCACTCAGACAGAAACATATTTGGCACTGTGAGATGATGTGCAGATGTGCATTTTGGCAACTCATCTGTGGGAATTTTTATAAAAGAGAGCATGGCCATCCCGGGGTTTCTAATTGTAATTTCCACATGTGGAATGATATGGGAATGCTGGAAAAGATGTGCCTTTTCCACATTGGTGTCACAGTGGTTAGAGTGCAGTACTGCAGGCTACTTCAGCTGACTGCTAGCTGCAGTTTGGCAGTTCACATCTCACTGGCTCAAGGTTGACTCAGCCTTCCATCCTTCCGAGGTGGAAGGACCCAGATTG